AGGAAAACAGTGTTGGAAGTAAGCTTTAAGTTTTGCTGGCCTGGTCCATGTTTGGGATAGCTGTCTACATCCAGTGTTGTCTGCTGCTGGCTGCGTGGAGATCTCGAATTTGAGATCATCACTGACTTTGCTGGTCCATTCAGGTCCTGTGACTCTTTTTTTTTTTAATATATTTTATTGATTTTTTATAGAGAGGAAGGGAGAGAGATAGAGAGCTAGAAACATCGATGAGAGAGAAACATCGATCAGCTGCCTCCTGCACACCCCCCACTGGGGATGTGCCCGCAACCCAGGTACATGCCCTTGACCTGAATCGAACCCGGGACCCTTCAGTCCGCAGGCCGACGCTCTATCCACTGAGCCAAACCGGTTTCGGCGGTCCTGTGACTCTTAAATAGGGACAGATGCCTTCACGTTTAGCTGCACAGGAATTGGTGAGCAGTACCAGGAAAGGTCTTTCCAACAAAGGAAGAGGGAGTCCTTTAAGTTTATGTCTTTTTCAGTAGACATATTCTCTAGGACAGCGGTCACCAACCAGTGGTCTGTGAGTTCCGAAAGGTTGGCAACCGCTGCTCTAGGAAATAGGTCATGAGAGGAATCAGAGGTCAGGCTGTATTCTTGTTCAGCATAGGCTTCTTTAACTTTTGAGAGATGTTATTGGAAATAGAAAATCGGGAGCTAGCAATATTTTAATAGATCACATTGGGCAATGTGATGGTCAGGGTATGGGGAATGAGGCAGCTATATGGGTCTGCAGGTTACTGTTTCACAGGGAGCAAGCTTATGTTTTTCAAAAGTTAAGGAAGGACCCTTAGATTCTCTAGAACAGTGACAGCACCTTGGTCCAGGGAATTTCCAAGGCTCACAACATTTTCATAATTGGGTTTTAATGATGCCACATTCAGCCTTTCTGCTAGTCCTGAAGACTGAGGGCGATATGGGCAATGCAGCCTCTGTGGAGCAGAGAAGGGGCTCCGCAGAGTTCTTGGATTGCCTGGCCAGCAAAATGAGTTCTCAGGTCACTGTGCAAAGCAGTAGGGGCACCCCAGGGAGGGATGATGTTTTCAAGTAATTTCTTTGCTACAAAAAAAAAGCAACAGGGAAAAGCTTCTACCCAGTGAGAAACATACAGACCATGACCAGCTCGTGGTCATATTTGTTCACTTGTTTTTAACAATTGTGTTTAGATTAATCAAGAAAATTTCTCAAGATATTAAATAGTGAACCAAATCTTGTTATTTTCCTTGCTGACAAATTGTGTAACAGAGATAACCAAACTTATTTGACCAGGATATAAGTTGTATTTCTGCATTATAGTAAAGCTGGTAACTCTGAATACATACCTATTTTAATTGAACCGACACACTTAAACTAGCTTTTATTTACTAAATATTTATCCTAGATTGCATAAACTTTGAAAAACATCTGGGTTAAGTTTCTATATTTCTGATCATTTAGAATACTTAATTTGATAAGTGCTTATTTTCCTTTAAGCCAGTTAAATAGAGCTTATTTACAAACTAATTTTGGTAATGCTACCCAGAAATAGAAAAACATTACCTATTTTCAATATATATATACATAAACATACAACAGAAATTTTAATTTTAAAATTTTGGTTTTGAGACAATTATGATAATACAAAAGTCACTAGTTTATAGAAAAAACAGATGGCCAAAAATAAGGTTTCTGGCAGAATCTTAAAGATTCCATTTCTTTAGTTAAGCATTGGTCTCTCAGAGCCAAATTAAGACCTCAATGCCTGAACATGTTCTTGAGGTTGCAGGTGATCCAGTGTCAGTCTAGCCTGTTCCATGACCACCTTATCCTCGTATGAGTCTTGGAGTTAGTTGGGAAGCCCTCTAACAGCTTTAAGTGCTCAACTTGTGCCCATCAGTTTTGCGGCTTTGGCTTCTGAGATTCCCATTAACCATAGAACTATTACTCCTTTACCTCATGTGCACATTGACAGAAACCGCCAGTAGCCAGAGAGATGGTACTGCGGACTGGCCAAGAGAAAGCGTTAGGTGTGCACCAGCAGCAGCTCCCAAAGTAAAACTGCAGCCTGAACCAGTGTGAACTGCGGACTAACCAAGGGCTAGTGATTGGTGCTCTGTTAGAGCTTCGTGTCAGTCCAGACTAACCCATTAGGCCTATATTGGGAAGCCAATTAGACCGATAATTCAACGCAAAGAGAGCTGAACTCAGGACCCAGAGGAACTTACCCACGGCCCTCGCAAATGGGGTAAAAGAGAACTCAAAAGGTTCACGGGACCAGAGCCTGTGTTTCTCGTCCTTGAAGCTGTGAGATACCTCCTTTGGGTTCCACCACTCCCATCAGACTGTTAAAAAAAAAACACCAAAATTCAACTGAGTAAATTTTTGAGATCTTTTTGGCTTTATTCATTTAAGTCACAACCCAATTCTTGAGGAATCAAAAACTGTACTTGTCCTCCAAATCTAGTCTTTACAAGAGTAGAAATGCAGCACTCAAAGCAATTCAGAGCCCACCTATCCTTGTTACCAATCCCCAAACCTCCCCTATTCATCTCAAAAGGCTGACAGATACTGTAAAAGATGTGGATTCAGAAAACACTTTTTCCAGTGCCTTTGAGATATAAATGTTCTACTTGGTCTTCTCCAGGAGTTCTCATCTGGGCTGTTCCTTTCAAATGTAAACTTAAGGGAAGTAATTCTTATCAGAAGGGGAAAAAAAAAGATGGGGAAGGCTACTTGGAATTTAGGCAAATAAAAAAATCTTAAGTGTCTTCTCCACAAATATTAATGAAAAGTTTTAACCTTACTTTATTACAACTTCCAGAAATATGGCTTGGATCCAACTCTTCTTTGATAAACTAGTGAGGTATGGCTCATGACTTGGGGCAAAGGAGGAGCCAGGACTTGCTAGTTCTCTTTCCATCTGCATGTCCACTTCCTGCTCCTGTAACTGCATTCTTAGGAGGAAACTGACATCTTCATGGTGTGAAAGCTGCTTGGCCTTGCAGCTTTCAGCCTGTGAACCAGTGACTGTGGCTGGAGGACTCTTCATTGGGCCACCTGAGTCACTTACTCACCCCAGGGTGAGGGTATGGGGTGACACCCGCTGGAGAGCGCCACCAGGACCATATAAAGGTACAGAGGGACTCCACCGGGGCGCCAGCCTCCTCACTCACCCCAAGGAACAGCCAATGTCCACTATGGGGTCCAACCACCTTTTGCCACAAAAAGTTTCTCAATTCGCAGGCACAATGGCACAAGTCTGTTTTGTCAGGGCAAAGAGGAATTTTGCAGGGAGGCTATAATGGAGTCAGGCATGGACCATGCAAATGCTCCATTTCTTTAGTTAAGATATCCATGGCTAGGACCTAATTAAGAGATTTTGTTACTTTGCTTCTGAAGCCACATTTCAACAGCATTAACCGGGGTTCCTGGCACAAGACTCTCATTAAGACAGTATACCCACAGTATACTTATAGATGCCTTGGGATTTCCCAGCTTTCATGGTTTTTTTAAAAAAGACAGATGAGAAACATTTACAAAATCCAGAATGTCTTCATCTATTTGTTCCTAGAGAAGTCAGCAAATCAAACAGAAAAGTGACGATGACTGATCATTCTCAATCATAAACTGGTTCTTGAGGCCATGTTTAAGATGCTCTTTAAACTTGCTTTTCTTTGAACCACATTGGATTGGGGGCTCTTCCTGTCACCCATCCCAACCCTAACCCTAGCACTAGGTACGGGGAAATCAGCAGCAGAGGAGAGAATCTTCTAACATTTATGGAAAGTCCGATGGTGTTTCTAAAGAGATATTCCAACTCCCTCACTGGCATATGCTCCTGGGAGGTCAAACTTGAAAATCCACCCTTAACAAGACACAGACCTACTAACTCACAGTCACAGCCCAATGTCCTTCACAGGAACATTCTTTCCAAAACTGAAGGCTGTGGTCAAAGGCCTAGAGGCTTCATCCCTTCAGGATTCAGCACAAATGAAATCACACTATGAGTAAAAAGCAAAAAACACAAAAATGAGCACAGAAGACACTCCAGGCTACATCACAGCTGTGGGACAGAGCACCAGGTTAGCCACGCCAACATCTGGGACTGCGGCCCAGAAGGCAGGGCCTACGGGCAAACTCCAGCTCATTCCCACCTTCACCCAGATGATGTCTGACCTTTATCTTACCCTGAAAGAGCTAGTTTAGGGTCACTAGAGAGGGGCTCTTTTTCCTGAACATGATCCCTAGTGGTGATTACCGGCTTCAACATACGTAGACGTAGCTCTGTGATCGCTTCTTGATATGTAAAAATTCATTCTACTCAACCTACATAGTGCTGCCTACCTGAAAGACTTTTTAAAAGTCTCTTGTTTTCTATATACTTTCTTAGATATTTTCAATATACCTTTTTTCTAATCACAAAACATGTTATTTGAAATAGTAAGCATGGTTCAACATTTTTAAAAACTCAGTTTAAAATATGACTCCAGTTTCACTATGGGGAAATCTAACATTTTAAATGCTCTCCTAGGACAATAAAATCTGGTTAGCCCTTGGGGCCCAGGGAGGACTACCCAACACAGCTGTTCTGTGGGAAAGGAAACCTGAGAAACCCAGCCGCAGGGGCTCTCGCCTTGCTGCACAGGGGGATCACGTGGGGTCTCTGAAAGCCCCCATACCTAGCACACCCAGTGCACCGCAGACCAATTAAACCAGCACCTCTGGGGTGAAGCCCAGAACTGAGGTTTTTGAGATTTCCCGGGCGACTCCAGCATGTAGGCCAACTGCATAAGTAAGCGTTAGCTCCACTATCCTCCTTCACAGATGTCGAGTGTTAGGTCCCCTTTATGTCTACTCAGCACTGCATCAGGCCTAGCTCTTTGTGGACAGGGCAGACTACTGCTCAGTATGAAACCCTACAAAATCAGCATGCGCTTGTGAAGGCAGGCTGGTAAACGCCACTCCCCACTCACCGTCTGCTCTCTTTGGATTCCCTGCAGGAGCTACAGTGACAGCTGTTTCCTGGATTCCCCCCTGTATCCAGAACTAGCTGACGTCCAGTGGTACGGCCAGGAGAAAGCCAAGCCGGGGACCCTCGTGTGAACCAGCCGGCCTCAATCTGACCGCCTCAACGCCATTCTGAGATCACCTCACTGCCTCTCATTTGCCTTACCCAGACACACCGTCACCCTGCACCAGCTTTGGCCCTCAGCACTTTTTCCTCCTGTCTCCGCATCCCCTCACAACTCAAAAACCTGACTGAGGAGACATTATGGAAGGTTCCGGTCCCACTGTGTGTCCCCTGGCTCTCTTGCCTACAGAGAGCCAGGCACCTGTCCTTAATGGTACCTTGATGGCTTCCCCCTGCCATGACAGCCCCCAGGCCAGGAACCATCAGGGAAGCTGGCTGGCCTCGAATTCCTGTGGACAAGTGTTACAGAGGACAGGGAAGGAGATACTGCCGGTGGCCCAGAAAGTCTGCTAAGCTGTGCCCAGCCTGCCGCCAGGAGGCACCAGCCAGGCACTTCAGGAACAGGCCGCCTGGTGGGAAGGTTCTTAACACCTGAAATATTCCTTGGGCAGTGGCTCTTGGGGGAGCGGGGAGGAATGAAACAGGACGCTCAACACATCAGAGATGTATCAGAGGATCACAATCAGTTCTATGCTGCCAAAGATTTAAAAAATTAAAACACAAAAATGAGAGGGGCCAAGAGGAAGACATTCTTTGTGTAACAAAATCTCTTTCAAATTCTAAACTGCTACAACACCCAAGTCCAAGTCAACCATTTGTAAACTGTTTCCCCTCTTTATGCCTCTCCCTAACGTCCACCTTCTCTCTCTGGAGAGCCTGGAAATCTCAGTGATGTGATGCGAAAGTCGGATCTCCGTGAGTCTGGACGCTGAGGACAGACCTGTGGGGAGCAGCGGAGTGTGCTATCAGCCCTGGTCGGTGCCCAAGCCCAGGACACAGCTGCTTTCCTTTTGGGATTTGTAGGAAACATAAGGTGATGATGCCAAAAGAGGTTCTCTCTCATTAAAACAACCAGTAAAATGATCCTGGTTTTTTTTTGTTTTGTTTTGTTTTGCACAAGGTGTTTCATTATATTTTTTACGGGAAACCAAGGGAAAAGCACATTGCAATTCATTCAAGTGTTTAACTGTTGTGGCTCATTTTATGTTTGTTAGCACTTGTGTGGCAAAGAGCTCAGCTCCAACTTCAGTTACCAATGTGTCTCTTATTCAAAAACCCAACTATGTCCTTAGGTAGAAAGATTTTACTCATGTGTCTACTAAGGCAGAGCAGGGTTGAAAAAAATATCAGCTCCCAAGGGGCCCACATGCCTACAACAGCGTCAGCCACCTGATGTAGCACATTTGCCTGCAGGCACCAAAAGAAGGAAGAAGAGCAAAAAACGTTGTGGTGTGGGAGCTGCACGTTTACATGTGCTTTGAGCTATGCTTAAAACACAACTGGAAAGCCATCAATCTTCAAAGGCCTCAAAACTACTTTTATAATAATAACAAGTGCACACTCTTAGTTGGGTATTCAAAATGGCACAAACACGGTCTCCACAGAGGTGGTATGCTGTGCTTATTGGCACAAGTGGGGGGGGGCGGGGGGATATTTTTTCCTCACTTGTAATGACTTACCGGAAAGGCATTGGGGCAGCCAGAGACAGGAGCCAGGGTGGGAGTAGTTTTGTGGGAGAACAGGACTGAAGTTGGCTTTAGCAAAAAAGAAAAATCTTTGTTCTTTATGTATATGTAATCCAAGAATAACAATAGACTCCACCAGACCAGGAGGGTATGGATGGACATGAAACAAAATAACCTGGTGCACCCTCTGCTGCAGTGGGCAAAGCATGTGGATTCACAGCCGCTGGGCCATCCGGATGATTCAGGGCCTGGTCTGCGAGGCCCTGTGCACAGCTAGGTTGGTGATAGCAGCTACCGGAAGGGATTACTATTCACAGAACACTTTAGGGGTAAACCCTGTAGGATACATAAAACTGGTTATAATGTTGAAATGATTCTGGGGATTGATGGGGGGGTATATTTTCGTTGCCCTTATTCTGATGGTCAAAGCTACAAAGAGCAGATTTTTTCCCTCCCCACTTGGAAACATTATACATCAGGCCATTTTTCTTTCTCCCAAAACTGATTCGTGAATAATCAAACTGGACTATGTACAACAGGAGCAGTCAGTCAAAAGGGAAATAGAAAAGGTGACAAGGTTCTATAACATGTACAGTAATGGAGCATCAAGTCTGAAGTCAATCGGGTCAAGCTTTTAGCCCAGTTGGGTTACAGGGAATGAGAGATGAAAATTCTTTCTAAACACCTGGGTTCTGCATTCTGGGGGCAGAAAGAAATGGAGCAGGAGAGGGATTGTAATTCAGACCAACATCACAATAGTCTGGTAGTAAAGACAGAGATTAAGTAAAACAGGTTTTACTGTTTAGCTGCGTTCAGTTACTACGAAGTGTACATAAAGTATTAGTCCTTTGAGACTGACATGATTAATGAATGATCAATGTGGTGGGAAACAATGGAGTTACTGTACACAAGCACTTGCAAGCTCTTTATAGATCCCTATTTCTTTAAAACAAAAGATGGACCATAAAGCCTGGTCTGATATAAAGCCCCATTGGATACTGTGGACATGTATAAGAAACTACCTGTTTAGCCAGAAGACTGGTGAAAACACCTATATCAGACTGTTGCTAGCCAGGTGAATTTTTTATTTTATTATATGGAGGTGACTGTTGGAGAAGTTAAAATTCCAATCTGTTTTCATTCAGTATTAGTTTAGTTCTAAACATAGCAAACCCGATCCAGGTGCTATCAGATGACCAGTTACTGCTTAGTTAACTAGGTGTAAAGTTTTTCATACACAATGTCAATAGTTTATTACAAGTTGTGTAAAATGGACTCTAGTTTAATAATGGGGGAGAAAAGGATTAGGTTGCTCCTGAAACTGACTGTAGAGCATGTAAAACGATTTTACTGGATTCTGTTCAACTGTAATCAATGAAAAAGATGTATGTTGTAGACAAAGTTGCAGAATTAAAAAGAAATCTGCTTTTAATTTATTCTTTTTGTATTAAGAATTTGTATAGTACCTTTACATTTTGCAAAACAGTGTGGTTGACACTTATTAAAGCATTTTCAAAATGAAGAGATCTCAGTTGCTGCTTGGCGATCTGTTTGTTTCTAGATGACAAATGCTTAAGATGCTCTGGAAATCTGTAACTCCGGTGCTGGTGTCCTCACCAGGCTCATTTTTAAAAGTCAACTTGCAGACGCTATTCTTTTTATTAAATTTTTTAAATTTTATTTTTAAGTACAGTTTGCATTCACCATTATTTTGTATTAGTTTCAGTTATACAGCACAGCAGTTAGACAATCATATATACTTTACAAGTGTTTCCCCGATATTCCCAGTACCCACCTGGCACCATATGTAGTTATTACAATATTGTTGACTATATCCCCGATGCTGTACTTCATATCCGCATGACTGTTTTGTAACTACCAATCTGTACTTAATCTCTTCTCCTTTTTCACCTAGCCCCTCAACGGTCCTCCCCTCTGGCATCCATCAGTCTTCTCTCTGTATCTGTGTGTCTGTTTCTATTTTGTCTATTCATTTATTTTGTTCTTTAGATTCCACATATAAGTGAAATGATATGGTATTTGTCTTTGACTTATTTTACTTAGTGTAATACCCTCTAGGTCCATCCATTCTCTCATCAGATCTCATTCTTTTTTATGGCAGAGTACTATTTCATTGTTTGTATGTACCACAGCTTCTTTTTTACCCACTCATCTATTGTACAGATGCTATTTTGTCTTGTTAGATGTTGTAGACAAGCTCAGTTCACTTACTAGAGGCTAATTCTTATTCTATTTTTATTTTCCTTTTGTTACTTAGAGATGATATATTCCCAATTATGTATTGTCCCTTCATAAGAGGATATGAGATTAGAGATCAGACTTTGTCATGATGCTAGGTTAGTGTTTGTATCACTGTTCATTATAAAGAGTGACCCATGTGCAGCATGTGCTAGGCCTGGGCACTGTCCCCACAGAGCAGCCCTGGTCCTACAGCAGCACTGTAGGACCCTGGGCTCTGGAGGTCAGCCCTTGTCAGTCACCAGTGGTCCCTGGTTCCGTGTGGGATGCATAGGGCCAATCAGGGAGACAGGCAGGATGTTCAGGCTTTTTACCACCACTGCTGTTCACTGCTGTGCTCACACCACAGCGCAAACTGTCCCTACCCTCTGGGTCATATCACCAAAGTAATAGCCTACTGGGCCTGCAGGTCCAAAGAGCTCCATGTTCAAGGGCATAAAGGTAACTGGCTGACTTCAGAAAGGAATTTGCTGCTATTGAATCCCTGCCCCCTAGTCCAAGCCAACATGCATCCCTTCTTTAGCAGGAAACTAGAATCTGGCGGCCAAGAACATCCCTGGATGGAAAGTCCTCCCCAGATGGAAAACCCTTGCTGAAGCATTTGCCACCACAGCAAACCCTGCCAAAAATGAGAGCAGTCACCCTGGCCGGTTTCTCAGTGGTTAGAGCTTCAGCCCACAGACCAAAGGGTCATGGGTTCAATTCCTGGTCAAGGGCACGTACCTCGGTCGCAGGTTCAACCCCCAGCCCCAGTCAGGGTGCGAGCAGGAGGCAACCACTCGATGTGTCTCTCTCATGTGGATGTTTCTCTCCCTCTCGCCTCTCCTTTCTACTCTCTAAAAATCAATGGAAAAAATATCCTCACTCTATGGATGAGGATTTAAAAAGAGATAGAGAGCAATCCACTGAAAATGCAAAACATGCCTGGAAGTGAGCCCACTAAGACAGCATTTTATACTTCCTAAAGCTTTCCTCAGGAAAGCAACCAGGGCCCCTGTAGCTCAAGATAATCTACACTAATTGCAAATAAACAGGGATCTTCCACAAGTCTTGTGCATGTAAACACACCACAGCTCAGGAAATAAATCTCATAGCCACTCATTAATTTCTATCACACAAAAGCACCTTGCACATGGGAAGGTGGGACTTTTTCATTTCTTCTTCACTCCTTCCTACCTTTCACCACACACACACACACACACACACACACACACACACACACTCCCTCCTTACACAGTGCCAACAAGGCAATTTGGTTATTAGAAAATACAAAAGAAACACCAAACTCCAGTGAAAGTATTAGAAATAGCCAGACCTTTCGTTCCTCTCTTCCTCAAAACCAGTTTAAGAAAAAACAAACTCAGACATAAAATTCTCTTTAAAAAGAGCGGTGTCAGAAAACCACAGATGAGGGCTAGCAAGCAGGCATCAGGCCCCAGTTGAAGTCATTCATTGCATTTAAGAGACCTATATTATATTTGGGGGTGGAGGGAGGAGGAAAGAAAAAGTAAATTGTAGAAAGTGATAAGAAATAAGGGATAGTGGAAGATTTAGCCTCTCACGAAGAGGAAAATGTTTTCAAGTCAGGTAAGAAAAGCTGCTGGCAGGTGTGGAGGTGGAAAGAGACCTTGGGCTTGCTCCATATTCAACCTGGTGTGAGAAAAGATAGGAGAGGCCTCCCTCCCAGTGAGAGGGTCAGTAGATAGCAGGGTACGGTCAGCATGCAGCAGAGTAACAAAGATTAGAATATAAAATAGCCCAAGAGGAAATGAAGATGGAGGATGTCCTCCAGGCATCACTTAGGGCCCAGCTGCCACTGGACACTCAGTGGCTGTGAATTCCCTCCTGGCACTTACTAGCTAGGGACTGGGAGGAGACCGATGGAATGGCACAGGCTTAGGTTCTTCTGTGTGGCATGGCAGGAGGACAAAAGGGTAAGTGAGTAGAAGGTCCTGGTGAGAGGGTGACTGAAATGATGACAATGGCTTCTAGAAGGACTAGAGAGAAAGTGCAACCAGGAATCAAGCAGAAAACAGAGGAATAAATAGGATGCCTTGAAGAGGCCCAGGAACAGAAGAATGAAGGAGCAAGGGTCCTTCGTGACCAGGAGGAGGTAAATACTCATTTTCCCATAACCTTCCCATCCCCATGTGAGTGAACCACGCAATCTGATAATCATCACATGGAAAAGTTCCTATGTCAGGCTGATGGGGTTAGTGAATGTCACCTGAGCTTGGGGTTGCTGGACACGCACCTGGGTCTCATTCCCTGTGTGCAGGAGCTGCAATTCTGGCTGCCTGTTGTATCGGGGGACCAAACCCGCACCAATTGACAGAGATTTGATAAAAACAATTGCTTAACCAGATAGCGAAGAGGTGACCGAGCAAAAGGGGGATGCTGAGACCTCACAGAGATGATGAGCACAGGAAGCAGCGACCGTCCTTAGGGATGGGAAACAAAGGCAAGGGATGGTTAGAAGAGAGAAGCTGGTAGGTGCAGCCTGTGGAGCTGGGAGTCAGACCTGAGGCGTGGATGCTGCTCTGCTGGCACCTGTGCCCTGGCACCTTGGCGGGACCCCTCAGAGCCGGGCTCAAACCTCCAAAGTGGGGGCACCAGCTGACAGAGCTCTGACCTCTGAGTTGCACGATAAAGTCATACAGGCTGTGCCATCACTGTCAGGGATGAGAAGCTAACCAGAGGAGCAAATCCCTTCTTCCTTCCCTAGTTCCTGTCTGTCATGTGCTTACTGTTGGTGGGACCACCTAACGAAAAGCCAGCCAGAAAGGAAATGTGTGGCCTGCAGAGTCTCGTGGTCACCAAGCAGAGCATGGGAGGCACAGGAGAGCCCGGAGAGATCAGCTGCACCACCAGCACCTGCGGCCCAACTGACTGGCCTTCACCTCTGAACCTTGGCTGGTGAACCAACTAGCAATCCCAAGTCCCTAGTCAAACTAACAGCTCTAAATCAAGGAGACATCTTTACAATCTACTGCTGAAGGACAAGCCAATGGGTATTGAATGAGTGAATGAATGAATGAATGAATGAATGAGTGAATGAGTTTACACCAGACCATGTAAAACACTGATCATAAAATCCTCCCAGAGGATTCAGCCATCGGTAGCAAATGCAAAGTCTGTTTCCATCACAAAATCAAACTCTTGGTTAATTCCATTCACATTACTCCTATTAGCTCTCCCAGACTTGCTACTGTTACAAGAGAAGGTTTTTTCTTACTTCTCTCCAATGTTCTCCTCAAACAAAATATTTTAAAATCTATTTTCCTAATAATTCTTTCAAGTATTTTTTTTCACTTAGCAAGTTTGAAATTATTTAATTTTCAAGGTCATGCATCCTATTTGTGTGTCTGTTGTTAAACACAGGCACTGTCTGGTGCCTTATTCTTAAGCACTGTCCCCAGCCTACATGAGTCATCCAGAATGCCATCTGATGATGTTCCCGGGGCATTAGACAATATTACTGTTACCATGGATGCAGTCACCAGGCCCTGAGGATTTAACTGGATGCTGTTTATTGAAACTGAACTTCATTGAATCCTCTCCCATTCCATTCTGGTCTTCACATTCTAATATATTACTCATTCTTCTCACCAAACTTACTCTACCTTTTAAACTATTGACTATTCATAATCTCTGCTCCCCTGATTTTTGACGTGCCTTTTCCCTCCTGCTATCCTTCTAATAAAGGAGAACACTCCCTCTGGTCATTTTTTTCCACCTTATGTGATTAAAAGGTTTGTAAATGTTCATATTTTTGCAATTACATGTCATTTTCTTCTTAATTTCTTTTTTACTCTTCTCCAAAAGTTGTTGCTATTCCTTTTGATTACTTGGGAGAAATAATTAGCCTCCTCTTCTACTTTTGTGACCTATATATTTATTTTACAGTTATAGTTACAGTTACAGTTATAGTTATATAGTTATATTTATAGTAGAGCTGCTTGGTTTTTGCTCAAATTTCTTTTCAATCCACCCACCTTTTAGGAAATAAATTATTTGGGTTTTTTGTTAGGTATTTTGAGCTTTTCTGAAGTATATACTTTTCTACACAGTGTCCTCTCCTTCCGAGAGTAGCTTTCCATAGGGAAGCCTATTAAAATAAAGAATAATAGGGGCCCCAGATGAGCTCTTCCTAAGTCTCTCCTCCACCAGGAATGTCTCTGTGAGCACCGAGGTCCCGCTCCCTTCTTGCTTTTCTCTTTCCAAAGCAAATCTATCCCTGCTCTGGAGGGCATCCACTGCTGC